ACGATCCCAAGGTGCATTTTTTGCACAGTCTTTTGGACTGGCTGGACGCCTGGCGGGACGTATGGGAGAGTGAGAACCTTACCAGCGGCACGCTAACCAAGGAGACTCACGGAGCACTCCGTCAAACAACCCGTGCACTTGTGGGGATCACCGAATACTGCTTCAATGAACTCGGGCTGAACTATGTCCTGCTGGGAAAAATTCAGACTGATAGCTTGGAAGACTGTTTCGGGAAGTATATGCAGCTGGCCGGCTCGCAATATCACATATCTATAAGGCAGTTTTATGAAGGTGAATATAAGCTGCGACTGCAGAGTATGTTGCCCACAATCACGTGTGTAGACAAGCGATGGGAGGAGCTTGAAAAACAAGTAGACACGCCACGACCCAGCTGCAACATAGTATAGTTGCAGAAGAGGCAGTGTCGCAAGCGATAAATAAGACCCTCCCAGTCCTGGTCTACAGGGCAGGGTATGCAGTTCATCCCGCTTTGAGAAAGCTGAAATGTCAGAAATGCAGGGCGGCATTTACAGAAGAAGATAAGACAGCAACAGTTTCACTTGTGCAGGGGAAGTACAGTCGAACCCCGCTATAACGAAATTGACGGTGCTTGAGAGAAAATCTGTTGTAGTGAAAATTTTGTTGTTGTGAAGTTCACCGAAAAATGGCATACCTGAACTGGTAGAGTACAGAAATCCAAGCGGAAGCACTGCCTGTGTTTGCTGATGCCGACTCGCCACTAAGCGTCTGGTCGACAATGTCATGGCGGGCCTTCAATCTGTTGAGCCAGCCAGTGCTAGCTTTGAGGTTGTCAATTTCTAGCAGGCAAGCGAAATTTAAGGCCTTCTGATGGTTATCTTCTTCGCCCTTGTCTCCACAAACCATGTGTAGATAGCCTTGTCGAGCTGATGTAACAGCCTTTTTGATTGCAACTTGTCGACAAAGAACTCGGAGAAATTCCAAACTTTTACGCGATGACGTCTTTCTTCTGTCCACTTGCAACTTCAGCCAGGATGCGAGCTTTATCTTCTAAAGATAAAATCTTCCCCGTTTTGCTTGGCGGTGCCATGTCCAAAAAGCCCGCTTACTGTACTGACAAAAAGACAACCGACGAAACAAAAAGGACGACTGAGCTTCAGCATTGGATAATCTGCAGCAGAGGATTATCAAGCCAAGAGCTAGGGTGCAACTAACATCGGTGCAACAGCGAAGGAAGGCCGGGAAGACCAGCCTCATCGCCGTCGCCATCGAGTAACGGCAGCCTGCACGCCCGGCCAACGTTGCGCTCGAGTATCAGTTATTTGTGGCAGTTTTTGGTGGGTGAAATGCGATTTAAACTTTATAGTACATCTATTTTATGTTCCTAAATGCACCAAAGTGCTACTTCGAATTGCTCTGTAAAATTTCGTTCAAGCAGAACGGCACAAGAAACTGTGTTGCTGTAGTGAGAATTTTTATGCATTGACTCCCATGGACTGTTGACGGGGAACCAAAAAATATTCGTTGAACCGGAATTTTTATTGAAGCGGCGTTTGTTGAAGTAGGGTTTGACTGTACTCTCTTGTCAAGGAATTGGATCGAGGGGGGCTCCTCTATCCAACTATGTTTGCTGTTAATGCCGTGACACACAATTACGTTGTTGCTCAAGAACTCTCCAAGCAGGCAGTTTTTGAAGGTTCGGAACCAGCGCCAGTTCGTCACCGAGCTAACAATAGAACTGCTGTCTACCAACGAGACTTGTGACTTCGACGCATGTGAAGTACACACAAGTGAGCTTGTGCTGAAGCACTTGCTGTGGTGCAACACAAACATTGTGCTGAAAAACTATTGTGGAAGGTTGAACGACCAGGTTTATGAGGCTAATTCTAAGTCAAAGAGAAGAAAATGTGACACTCTAAAATCTAGATAATTATTTTATATTCCGTGCAACAGTTGTTATAGCTAGGGTTCCGCGTTTTTGGTATATATTTTTTCAGAATACGGCATACTTTTTTCGGTGTTTATTTTAAAATTAAATTTTTGGTATTTTTCGGTGTATATTTATGCCTACAAAAGTTTATCGTTTTTTTTTTCGGTGAATATCAAATAAACACCAACAGACACCGGCTCAGATGATCCTTGTAGCCTTGATATTAGTGATCACTCAAAGAATAACGTTACAGATACATTGAAAAAGAAATGGACACTTTATTTGGCAAATGTGTGCAACTGTAAAAGAAACAAGAAAAACATCACAGAAGTACAAACAAGTCAGATATAAAGCCTATGCACAAAAAAACATGGAACTTCACCTTCTGTATATCAGGATTATGTGATGTTACTGTAGTAAACACACATGTACTTTCCCAGCTTCTTCTCGTTTATCCACACTCTTTCTTTCCTGTTAATGTGACCCTGAGCTTCGAGAGTGCCTTCCCAACGCTGACACTGACAGGCTGAGGAGATGAAGCGCTGCCTGAGCCAAAATGGTGCAATCAACCAAATGTGACCACCAAAAGGGACATGATGCGACGTTTTGAAGCACAACACAACATGCAGAGGTTGCATCAAGTCAGTCTTCCTTACATCGAGTTTGAAAACACGCTAGTACATGGCGAAGCCATGGGGCATTTCGGACTTCACGTTCTGATTAATGATGCGCACATTAAACCAAAACGTTGTGATGGCATCAGCGTATCTCATACATTCGGACATGTTTCGATAGGCACTGTCCTTCCACTTTTTCGCCACGGCTCTGTGGTACGACTGGAAGGTCAAAGAGACCTTTTCTGGTTAAAACCGAATTATAGAAAATGGATTCGAGGAACTTTTATCAGTTTTTATCGGTTTAAACTGAAAACGTCGAACCTAGAAACTGATCTTCTTTTGGTCAAATCCGAATTTTCGAAAATGAATTTGGCATACTTTTATCGGTTTTTATCGGTTTAAACCGAAAACTCCGAACCCTAGTTAGAGCCTTATTATTGCCAAGCGGCATAAAAGTCTACATACCATACATGTGCTGTGTCTTAGTGTCGCGAAAGCTGCAGAACGGCATCTAAGTCTCTTGTGTTTGAATTGTGTAAAGATGGATACAAGGAGAAAATATGAATACACGAGAAGATACAATTTGAAGTTTTCAAAGGTGAGATTACTTATATTCACTGCATCTATTCATAGTGTGAATGAACACAGGTAGATGTGGGCATGATGATCCCACAGCTGTATGTTTTCCCTACTGAAGGGAATGTTTCGACATTTGCTCTTAAAATTTCCAAAATTGTGTGACTTTCAACCGTGTTTGCACTCCAGCCGGATATTTGGTACTATCCAGTCTACAGAGCAGACGAAGGGCTGGGGTGAGAAAGGAGATGACTTTTTCCTCTCCGCTTTTCCTGGTGAAATGATTTGTAGCAGCGGTCTCAAACTCGTTTGAGTGTAAGGGCCAGATGGCCCACCCCCAAAAGGTTGAGGGCCAACTGGGGGGAAGGGCAATATTGTTATTCTGGGACAAAGAAAAAACTAGACAAGCAGTAGTGGTGTGTCGCGTTGCAAAGCAGTTGACTGTCCTAGTGACACCCTAGTGCCTTGCGCTAGCTCACCGTTTTGCCATCTGTAGCTTTCGTTTGCATATTCAACTACTTTTGACCCACCCTTATGTTAAATAATTTAAAACGCCAACATACTGGCAGTTTTCAATGGAACGCAGCAAGCACGCCTTCCTTGCCCTGTCGCACAATGGCTCAACAGGCATAAACAATATCTCGTCATACGGTAGTTTTTGCTTTGCTGACGATTTTTATAGCAGCATTGTAAGGAAATACCTGTATTTTAAAGGTATTTTCTAATGGCCAAAAGCCCTAGCTCGTAGCTTTATCTTTGGCAGTTGCTCGTGCCGAACAAGAGTTTGTGCAGCCGAGGTGCCTTTTTGAGCAGCTCCTGTAGCCTAGTAGTTGTATTGCCGTTACGGTTGATTTACGTAAGAAAGGGCTGAGAAGCAAATATTCAGATGAAGAAATACTCAGCCTCCCCCCAAAAAAAAACAACAGAATACTGTAGTACAAAATGTATGAACACATTATATGAGCAGAGCTCCTTTCAAGCTGAAATGAATCAACAATAAAAAAAACTATTATTTATAGCGCATGTAGCGCTTGGGAAATGGGAACGGGGGGGGGTTCGCAGCCGCGGGATGTTTGCGGGCCACATCCCAGGGACTCACAGGCCGCATGCATTCCGCTGGCTGTATGTTTGAGGCCCCTGATCTTTAGAGTCATGAGACTGGGAGGGATGCTTGAACCCTGAGACTGGGAGGGAAACTTGAAGATAAATTACTCTCGGGAATCAAAGTCATAATCAATACGCACCAGCTCGCCTGCACTTTCATCATTTTTCCGTCTATAGTCACTGGATAATCTCCTGAGTACCAGAACCTTTATTTTATTGTGCACTGCACTGCCATTTTAGAGCCATTTACCAGCAGAGTTTGTTTTTGACCACTTTACTCTTAATGTGCCCATCCGAATCAATGGTTACAGGTTACTCTATAAAAACAATGTCTTGTGCACTGACATTTTCTTGTGTCTTTAATTGATCGCTGAGTCCTAGCAGCAATCATTCTTTATTGATCTTTAACAACAAAACATAAAGATAAGCTTTATTTTTGTTTTAATACAAATCAATGCTTTTTCATGCCAATAAGTGCCAGGCAAAGGAGCCGTCAGAACGACTCTGCGATTACACAACATGGCATGTTATCTTACTGAGGGACAGTCACGGTTCGTTGTGCATCAACTACACAAGATGGTGGAGAGAACGTACCATTTCTTGGTTGCAGACTCCCATCCATAGTTGCTAGGCTATCAGAATCTTCAAAAGACTGCTTAACTCCCCCAGGATAAATGGCTCTGGCTTCACTGTCTTTACTGCAACACTCGCTTGTACTCAAAGGGCTCATAAAACTACCTCGAAGCCTTCACAGACCCTGGAGACACTGCAATCTCATGTCCCACTCCATGCAGGTTCTCCATCCTGAAGAGCATTCGCAGGGACCTGATTGACTCACTTCCGCTCCCAGCACGCCTCAGGGCCTACCTGAACACCCCGCACTACTACTCGGAAGAGCTGGCCGACCTCGCGCACCCCGCCTTCGCTAGTCATGCCTTCCCGGCCACCCTTGTCCGAGACCAGAGCCTCGAGGCACTCTTCCACCAGAGTTGATAGCATCTATCCCTCGGCCTCAAAGCACGTCAAACCCCATGTTGCCCAGGAAACCGCGGCCCAACTGAGCCCTTTGCTGCCCGCCCCACTCTTCACCCTGTGCAAAGTCCACCCTGCCAGACAAGGGGCAGCAGACAATGCTCATTTGTGCAGACCTGTAGGTCTGCAGTCTCTCTCTCTCTCGGCATTGCACGCAACGTGCGGTCTGTTGAAGGTTTGGTTTTGCTGGCTGTCTGTAGAGAACTGGCACCAGTGTATGTGCATATAGCTTGTGTGGACAGTCGACACTTGTCTGGCGGTGGGATCAGAAATTTCGCCTTGTCTGGCATCGTTCTGGAAAGAGGACTCCCTCAAGATTTTCACACTCGGGAAGTAACCTGCAGGTATGAAGGCCAAGCTTGTAGTGCTGAGTGCACAGGCCAACCAGTTGAAATTTGAACAGTGTTCACGCTTGCTTTCATATAATCGCTGCTCTGCGATGCACATTGAAGACCTTGGGATAGCACTCGTGCTGCACTGACCAAATTGCCCCTTTCGGTAATGGCAATATAAGGTGCCATATTTTGGGATGGTAGAACCGTGCCCTGTATTAAGTATCTGTCCAAGAAATTTCTCTGTTGACATCTGCTTGTTTCAGCTTTAGCTAATTTGGCCGTAACTGAAATATTGCACCAAATTAATGTAGACAGTCTCTTAGAAAGTAGGTGCTGAGAGTGCAGCCTTGTTTTGTATGAGTGGAGAGTAGCCTGTTTTCTAAAGATACCAGCTTCAGCAAAAAAATGTCAATGTCCATAAAGACTAGAGATTTGGCAGAAATGCCTTTCAAGTAGTTCTTGCTCCGCTTTTTTTTTCCCAAGAATTTTTATATCAGTAGCCTCCAAACTCTAGCTTTTTATGTTGGTTGCATAACTCAATCAATATAAGTATAAATTTAAAATGAGGTTGCTGCAATTTTATGATAAGAATTTATCCTTGTAGTCTCCTTTGAGAAGGACAATGTCCAACGTGTTGAAATATCATGAAGTTAGCAACCCTTCGGCACTCTAGATTGTAATATCACTGTCTTCTGTACAGCTGAATTGCCCAAGGAATTTGCTTGCGTAAACATACCTTTGGAGCTCCAATGCATTATGAAATTGACTTAAAGGGATTGTCCGGTCGAAACCGGAATTACTTAAGTTTGTGCGCTTGTTGCGTCGAGGAAGCCTTCATGTAGAAAAACGTCATTTTTATTTTGATATATGATTCTTCCCTTATTAATTAAACGTTTCATGAGCGTATGTACGAAACTGCACCCCGAATTTCACCAGTGTCAATGGCTGATATCCGTAGCTGCTGCGTGACGTCACAAAACAAAGGGTCGTCCGATGGTCGAGATAACAAGCGTTGGCCGATGGATGTCTTGTCTTTTGTTTTGAATTATATAGTCTCCTAAACTGTACCCTACTGAAATATGTTTCTTTTAATGCAGTTACCAAGTGTGTGCGAAAAAAGTCATGCCTTTTAGCAGGATATTACTCGAAAAGAGAGCTTCGAGCAGACGTATGCCGTTTCGCTCAAACACAACTGCGACGGCCACCGATCGAACAAGGAGCGCTTGTAAAGAGAAGGATGCAGATCTTACCTCTGAAACGGCCTCTGGTTTCACATTTCGGTTGATCCACTGGATCGGTGATGAGGCTGCAAGTCATTCTTTCGGAGGCGGTGTCCACGGGTCGAAGGCAAACGGCGCATCGTTCAAATGCATGTCGTCACTTGACTTGGACAAGCTTGGTGAATCCTAGCCACGCTCTATTGTCACACGCGGGTCAAACAGAATTTGGCTGCACGTGTGCTAAATACAACTTTTGATATTGTTTCCAGAGGGCCTAGCTGTTGGTTTCGGTTTCGCTGTATAATCAATCTGATTTATTCGATTTAAGCGAGGAGTGGATGGATATGGTTGAATATCGTTGGCCCAGCATCACACCTCAGCTCACGAGCCTTCTGTCCGCTTAGAGCTCAGCTCATGAGATAATTTCTGCATAAGCGGGATCTCGAACTTTACGGGATCCCGGTCCCTAAGCACGGCGATGATGCATTTTGCTCGTCACTGCACGTCTCGTGGAAAAAGGGGGGGCATCACGTCTTGGCTCGCATGTGCTGCCCGTTGGTTGTGGCACCTAACTGCGCAACAAAAATCTCACCCATCCACGAAACAAGTCGAGCGCAACAGCAAAAACGAAGCATGCTGCGGCGTTCTCTCGCAGACAAACGACACGACGGAAATGCTAGCTTTGTGTTTTGTGACGCCAGAGCTTCAATATTGCCAACGAAAGTAGCATTTACGCTAGGATGCGATTGGAGCGGTATAAATTCAATTACTTATGCAGAGGGGCAGATAAAATTCAGATATTGCATGTACGATGTGTCTCGAGGCAATAACAATGATACTCAATTCTTTTCTCGAATACAAAATTTGACCGGACAATCCCTTTAATATTGAACTTGCAGTTGAACAGAAAAAGGAGGTCAGGGACAGGAGGCCATTTAATCAACCTAATGAATGTATTGATAGTGAGTTAGGGACAGGGAGATGGGCACAAAGTTTGTTGGAACTGGAGCAGTGACTCAAATCCAGCATAAAGACGGGTTGTGTAAAGGGCACAGAACCGGTCGACCCTTCAAAGGGCCTGTGGTTATGCAAAAGGTCCCAGAACGTCCATACCATTTTCAGAGACCTGCCCTGCTGATCTGTGATTTGTGACTCCGTCTTCACAGAAGGTCTGTTTCTGTCTGTTCTGCACTCCTTGTTTCTTGTATGCAGGTGAATTTTCCCATTGGTTTTGCCAGCAGAGTTTTCTTAATATTCTTAACTTCCTTTAACATTTCTTCAAATGTAAAATGATTGGCAAGATGCTGCATTTGGCTCTTGGTAACAACATTGTTTTGTCAGAAACCTTCCATCACATGTTCTATCCACTGCTTTTTCTCCTGTTGCTGCCTATTTCATACGTGGTTCTCAGAATGCTTGATGGTGTGGAATGTTTGAAAAAAAGAAGCAGCTGCCCACAGTGAAACCCGTTTAGAACGAACCCACTTACAGCGAATTATTGTTGATATCGAACTCATGGAAAATTTAAATAAAAATGCATGTAAAAAGTACTTTTTATAACGTACAACATGTGGGCTATATCGAACTTTTCCCCCAGGAAGGCTTCCAGAAACGTGTAAACAATCGTCTTCTAGCCTGTCCCCTCCCCCCCCCAAAAAAAAAGGTAGGAAAGAAAGAAAATTCCAGAAGCTCAAGTTGCAAACAAAATTGAGCAAAGAGAAGCGATTCAGAAGGAGGAGAAAGCTAAAAAATACACTACGCACACGCATAGAAAAAAAATTTCGTCCCAAAACAGTTGCCCACGAAGAGAAGCGATTCAGAGGGGGAGATAAGCTAAAAAAGCAAACTCTGCACAGATGCAAAGAAAAGCAAATACTTTCCAGCGTTTTGTTACAAGGCTGAAGCGAAGAGATGAGAAAAAAAGAGAAGCTCTCGCATTACAATGAACGTATCATGGAAGTTCTTTGTAAATGGTTTTTGCTATACGAATTACTTGCTATGTCGAACTGATCGTAGCGTTGCCTGCTGTTCGTTATAAACAGGTTTGACTGTAATAGTTGTGCTGAATGGCTCTGTAATGTGACATTTAAGAAATGCTGGCCTTTTGTACTTTGCCCCATCGGCTCCCACATTCTTGTACCTAGCAGGGAGCACAAGCATTTCATGTCTTGCTGATGTCCCATTTGTGAATCCGCATCCTTCCAAAGTCGCTTTTCTATGAGAACTGCAACCACTGGCATTGTGCACGCTACTTTTTTTCTATGACCATGTCATGACTTTTTTTTTCTGCCTGGTGTGGTGTCATCTCATGCTCATGCTGATTGGATCCTGTTCATTGTAGGAACTTTCAGGACCACCAGTAGTTTTGCAAGTTGGTAGGGACCGCCATAGGTTTGTTGTGTCACCTACCGAGAGTCACTGTGTCTAGCTTGTCCGTCTGCAAGTGTTCATTCTAAAGGGAACCAAATTCTCTGAGCATACCCATTGACACAGAAGCCCTATTTTGCATACCTCAAGCTGGGCAGGTTAACTCATGTCCACCTGCCAAGAGTGGCACAAGCAAATATAATACAATATTTTGCATGACAATGATTTGGTTTTGTAAAATCGATCCAAAATTTTTTTAACTAAGCTATTAAGAAGGGGGAAAGCTATTATACTAAGCTATTGAGAAGAGAAAAAGTTATTTGTTAAGAAATGCTTGATTAAAGGGATGACAAACAGGAGTTGTCATTGGACAACCTTTGTTCCCAGCTTGATTATCTTGTTAGAATGTCGTCAGAACATTTGTGAAATGCATAATCAACCAAATGACCATTGCTTTTTTTTTCTTGAAGCTTGCAGTTTTATTTTGTTCTTCAGCCCACTAGCCACATTAACTGGAGTACTGATCGCCAAGAAATAATTACCTTGCATGCTTCAATAAGGGGTGGGATTATTGGTTCAAAGAAAATGGCTAGTCAGAGGAAAACATATCTGCACATCATGAATGCACCTTTTGGGAAAACAAGTGTTTTCAAAAACTGTTGCGTGCTTTATGCTTTGCCAATGTAATTTGTTAATTCTGAACCATAGTCAGCCAAAGTCCATTTTGTGGTCCCTTTAATGTAAAAATTAAAGTTTTTTTTTTTTTTTTTTTTTTTTTTGTTCTAGACATATTATTCTGTTACATTTTTGGGCCGACTAGAATTTTATTAAAAGGTAAATGGACTTTCGGATATTTAGGAACTCCAAAAAGGGGTTCTGAGTTTTCATATCTCATGCAAAATTTAGAAGCTATACATCTGGCTTTACGTCTGACCAGAAATTCAAACACTTGTTTTGTCAGCAGCATTAGGAAGTTAAAGAATTAAGTAGGCACCCATGTAAAATATATTGCATTATTACCATGAAACATACTGTCAGAAAAGCACAATAATGTTTCTAGTTAAATATCACAATGGGTTATGGGAGTATAAAGCTCATTATATGAGCAATATGATTCACAGGGCATTATAATTCGACACCTCTGCCAATCAGATGAATTTAGGTTTCTGCAAAGAATCCAATTGTATAAACTTGTCATTTATTCATATGTGACAATACTAAAAAAGTATGGCTGAAGAAGGTTTTATGCATATTTTGTTGCAGGTTTTTTTATTAATCTGATAAAACAGAATCCTAAGCATATCTAGAAAAACGCATTAATCTCTAAATGCAGATCCTCTAAACAGAAACAATAGTAAAAGGGGCAGATAAAAAAAAAAAAAAAAACTTATTTCCAGACAAAAAAAAAAAAAAAAAAGCTTATTTCCAATTGTTTGTAGCATTTGGTCATGCTCCATGACCAATGAAGCATATGGCCATAGGTGGTACCTTAAATCTTAATTTGGCAGCTTTTGATTTTAATAATTCTAGTTGGCCGAGTCTATTTAGACTGAGTCTTCCATAGCCTGCTTCCAGGTATGACATGTTGTGGGGCAGTTAGAGCTCTTCATCCATATCTAAGACAGCATTCGATGTTTGAAGCGTTTAATTCATATCTGCAAAATTGTCGCTAAAATCAGTATGCAAAGGCAATGCTAATTTATTTCTTAGGCACCATGAATGCTAAATCTTAGTTCATTTTAGCAGTCTTCTGTAAATTCATTTATAATTTCGATGCGACACCTTTTCAGTCTCTGTTGTACCTATTTCTAAGAATGATGATAGTGAATGGATAGACGGCGTCGACCTTGTTGGCCAGAAGCCAAAACCTGTCCAGTGAATTGTTCGACCCCATTTGTGCCCTTGTTAGTGTTTGCTTGACCGCAGATTTATTTGTAACTGTCTGCTTTACCAGTGTTAGTTGCGTGTTACATGTGTTCGACTAGGCTCAATGTTGCGCGCTGAAGAGAGAAACTGTGCCTTGGCAAAATTGACATACTGTGAATTGATTGCTCGGTGAACCCTGACGCTGCATGGTCGCACAACACGCGCACCACCAAGCGGTTGCATGACAGAAGAGTGAGGTTTGAATGGAAGGTAGATCGTTTTGAAAGCATCACAAGCAGCTTACAAGCTTCCAATGGTTGTGTTTCGCCGTGTTACAAGTGCATTGTCGTTTCCTATGCTCTGAGGATTCTTTTACAATCATCTCTAGCTTCAAAGACTAGATTTGTAGATGATATTGAATAAATCCCCCGTACATAAGTTCCATGTCTTTGTGATCTGTACGAATGGACGTCGTTTCATCTTTGATGGCCCGCAGCGGACGCTACCAGTCAATCCAGCGCCGTGAACTTATCCCGTGACGTTCCACCCGCCGCTATGCCTCTCTCAAAGATCGCGTGACACTCGCATGGCGTTAGATTGGCTTCGAATGTTTGTGGCGTACTCTGCGGTCCATTTTAATGTTAAACGAAGTATATAGTTGCGTGAAAGCGTTTGATTGTATACAACACAAATGAGCGGTACGAGTCCCCAGGATATATTTAGCCGTTGCTGTGTTAAACTGCAATGTGAAGTCATGACAGCCGGATCCACTTGAACAAAGGCGTCCGCGGGGTTTATCAAAGTGGCACGTCCTGGAAGATGTCTGGTCCGCCGTGGCGGTCAGCACTGACACCACGGCCGATGATGAGGGAACGTTCTTCGGAACCGAGCGAGTTCTGGTAGCTGCTCCTGTCCGGAGGGGCCTCGACTGGCAGCTTGAGGGCCGCAGTCGCGGGGCGTGCATCCACGAGGCCAGTTTGTGGAAACGTCGTAGTGCCATCGCCGATAGGAATCCCGGAGAAAAGCTCACCGGAGAAAAGCTCACCGGAGAAAAGCTCACCGGAGATAAGCTCACCGGAGAAAAGCTCACCGCAAAACCGGCGGATGCGGAGAAAAGCTCACCGGCCATTGAGCGTCTGCGCAGAAAAGCTCACCGATATTTTTTCTTCTTTTTATATGGAGGCTGTTGGATCGTGCGTAACATATATCAATTTATTATCATTAATATTCGTCAGCTTTGTAAAAAAATAAAATGTCCTCCTTTTGTAATATTTGTTGAGCTTAATGGGTATATTGCTCCCAAATTAATAATTGCAGGCCAGTGTTTTTTGTGGCTTACTCTCTAGGCAACGAAAGCCTAACTAAAATCTTTATGAACTTTAAGAACAGGAAAAAGTAAAAAAAAAAAAAAAAAACGTAATTATGACTGCCTAAGACCTAAAAATCAAAGGTGTAAATGCCGAAAATCCAAAAGTGCACGCACAACACTGAGGTGCCTGAAATTCTCTTTAAAGCTTTTGTTAACCTTTGAAAACAGGATAAAACAGTCAATAGGATATCGACGCTTCTTTGTTCCACGGACATGCACGCTTTCTAACCGTTCGTGCTGGTGTTTCCACACGTTCCCTTTGTGTGACAGTGTCGTCCTACGTTGCGCCACCCATGACCTTCAGAGGTGCATACTGTCTCCGTTGTTATTCGTGAGCTATATAAGAACTAGTCATTTGTAAGGTAGGTAGCGAATTGGGCGAGTTGGTAAACGTTATACATGATGGAAACCGCTCGAACGACGACGACGGAGTGAAGACAACAAACACGACACGACGAAGCTGTTCTCGCAACTGAAGTTTTGTTAGTGAAATTAACAGAAAGAAAACTGCGTAGCCGACACTGATTACATCAACGAACATCTACTTATCTATTAGGCACTACCCAATATTTGGACCTCAAGCGATTCATACACCGCTATTCATATTAGCTCGCAAAAAACACACCTCTTTATCTGACAGAGCTACCGACGGCGCACCCTCAGCTGTCAATAAATTGTTGCCTTTTTTACCGGTGTACGATGTTCTGATTTTATGCTTGCGGCTTCATTAATTTACAGAATGGGTGATTACTAAATTCTGAGGAATTAGTAAATATGCCCAATGAACCTCAAGAATATTACAAAAACGAGGACATATTTTCAGTGAAGTGACGAATGCGAATTGTGTTAAATTGCCACGTTTTACGCAGAATCAAGCTAAGCTAAAAAAAATATCGGTGAGCTTTTCTCCGCATCTGCCGGTTTTATGGTGAGCTTTTCTCCGGTGAGCTTTTCTCCGGTGAGCTTATCTCCGGTGAGCTTTTCTCCGGTGAGCTTTTCTCCGCCGCCCCGCCGATAGATCCCACCTGATTTGGATGATGAAGGAACCAACATATTACTGAGAGCACTTTCCACGTGAAGTTCGGTCAGTTCAATGTTTCTGTTCAGCGTACCCTTAAAGTGAACTTTATATCCTCGCGGAGCGCGCCAAAGCTATAATCTAACTACGAGGGGTTTGTTGCAAGTGTCAGCCAATGAAAGAAATGGTCGCTAGATATGTCCACCTTCATCACACGCCCCCTCGAGCCGAATGCACTTGCACCACCTGTGTGGTAGCAGCCTTTCCATGTGGCCCACCGATATCACCTCTAGAAACTGCGTGGCGCTCATGCCCGGAGAGCTGCTTTTAGCTCATCGGTGACCGCAAAATGGCGCCTGCGCAGAAAGGCCCGCACAGGGGATCACATTTGGGGGCCAGATTAGGCAGTATACACATGCGCGACCAAACGCCCGTACATTCATGTGAGAGACTGCGATTGACCAGCGCCTGGTGCGGTTCGGTCCAGAGATTGAAATTAAGGGAAGGGGAGGGGTCTAATTTTTTTTTTTGAGGGGGGGGGGGGTGGGTTTAGGGATGAGGCATTGAGAATAGAGGAGTCGTCGCGAATTAAGGGGGTGCCTTCAGAAAAACAAAAGGGGTTCCCCCCCCCCCCCCCCCCCCCCCTCCCAGGGAGTGCTTAGGGAAGTCACTGGTTCGGTCGTTTTTCCGACGCGTGGGATTCGGATTAGCCCTCGTGGTGAACGACCCCAACTAGGGGAATATCCGGAATACACCCGTTCTCTGAACATTGCCAGCCCGCGGGCTTGTAGCTGTGAGGAACACTGGCGGCACGAGCCGACTAAAGACAGCTGACAACTTCGTCCACATCAACGACCGGGGCACCGGTGCATCTGTGGCTCATTTTGCTTCGCAGTGCTACTTGCATTGCTTGCCACATTGCGTACTGCGAACAATTGTCTGGGCGGCTATCGTTGCTGTCGCTTTGGTCGTTCTGAACCTTCTGAACTCAGCCTTCTGAACGAGTACGTATATAAAACTTTTATGCGCCAGGGATGGGTGCATACGGCTGAACCCTTTTTTAATCGGGTGGCGGCTTGCACAGCCAAAGCTTCCAAATCCAACAATTAACTAATCTCCGGTCAAGTTATGATTTAATAGAGTAGTGCAAAAAACCTCATATCGCTGCTCAGGCACAAGCATTCATCTACCATTCTCCACAACCGAAAGTTACCATCTGTGCGACGTGGTTGTCTCGTCGCAACCTGGTACGCGCACTTTTCGCCCATTGAAAGGAAATGAATAGCAAATTTAATTCTCCCCTCGACTTGTGGCACCTGTCCGATGGCCTGTGATCTCCGCTTTCCCAACGTCTATTTTTCCGTGGCTCTCTTTAGAGCCCAGCGCCTGTACTAAATCGTCATCGCATTGAGCAACTGCAAAGTACAGCTCTTTACAGTAAAATATCTTAATACTTTACTGTAAAGACGGCTGTTCCTACAGCCGTCTTTTTTTTTTCATCCCACATGCTCCACACACTGTCTTTGTCAAGTGCAGGGTAGAGCCCTTTACAGTATCATTCAGCCGTCTTTTTTTCATTTTCACATTGTTGGAAAAAAAAACGAGAGTGCGGGTAAATGACACAACAGTAAAAAGTCTCTAACACAGCTGAAATTTTTATTTTCCGAAACCTGGGTATATAGGCTCTTCGATACAAAGGAAAGAAAGGGGAGAGGCTGAGAACCCCCAAAGAATGCCACTTTCCACAAACGTAGCTGTTGTATTGTACTGTAAAATGAACCGACAGTGATTTGCCTAGTCACTGTGCGTGACGTACATCTTTTATTCTATCTCAACTTCTTCCTCCTTTTTTCCCGCCAAATCCATCCAGTCCTAACTTCTTTCTCAGTCAACACGACATACTCCCCTACAAGGTAAAATTATGTGTTACGGAGAGTAACGATCTGGTGGCCGCTTATTTCTCTTAGGCCTGGACCGGACGGATGCTTCAGCTTCCGGTATAAATGTTGTTGCAGCGGGAACTGCTGGTGCAACAGCTCTTGTTAACTTAGAAGTGTTCCAGCAGTTTCCCTCTTCTCTTAGAAAGGTTGCAGGTCCAAGGGACTCCTTAATCCTCACTGCAGAACTGAACGATGAAGAACCTTTTGTTGCGTGTCCCGGAAGTCGGACACGTACGTAGTCTCCTCCTCTGAACTTCGAATTCTTTACCCCTCGGCGTTGGTCAGCGTAGTTTTTGAAGTTACTCTGATATTTCTTCACCCTGTCACGAATTTCATTTATTGCGCTCCTAGCATCTTCTGAAATACCTGGATGCGGGAGCCCCACGATTTCCAGTCTCGTTCGCATTGGTCGTCCATGTAGTAACATTATGGTGCCTGGAACGCGTCTCCGACTGGCGCTTCAGCGTCCTATGCTGCCCATACATCGAAAGTGGTCCCGAAGTTGCAACTAATGACGTCACATAAGCCGGAGTGTCATGCTGTTGACTGTCGCGATCCTGGCGGTTGGCCGTAGAAATGCTGGCGAAAAGCGCGAACGAACGCGAGTATCGCTGTCATCACGGCGTCCCAACTTCCGGCTGCTCTAGCTTCCGTGCACTGTCACAGTGGAGAGCGACTTGCAGCAGAACAGGCGTCTGCCATTTGTACCACAACTGTTGGAACACCGACAGGGTCGCGACCGGCGACAGCATGACACTTCTATGACGTCATCAGGCGGAAATCGAGGGACCACTTTTTTGGCCGCGGTAAACACACCAGTCAGAGACGCGTTCCAGGCACCATAGTAACATAGAGGGTGACAGAGTTGTAGCTGCTTGTACACCGATAAACTCCCAAAAAAGTCTACCAGGTCAGTCTGGATGTTGCCTTTCTCCAAGATACTTTGTATGTAGTCTTTGAGCACCCTGTTGAAACGCTCTACTTGTCCATTCGCCTGTGGGTAGTGGATAGACGATTTCGAGTGTATAATTCCTCTGTCTTGCAGAAAGTTTTTGAACTGCAAGGACATGAACTGTGAACCGTGGTCGGACACCAGTACTTCGGGGTAGCC